CCGTCCGTCCGTCTGTCTGTCTGTCCGTTTTGTTTGTTGCGTTCCACCGACTGAGCAGAAGTGGTGGGCTTTCAGCAGGTCGATTTGACAGAGACCTCCAGTGCCAAACTGCGGAGGAAAGCTCACAGTTGAAACCAAAACGCTGGTCTTCTTCATCAAAACCGGATTCTGAGCTCTTTTCACAAAATGTGCTCAACTGCGAATTTAAGGTCGGATTTCGAGCGCTGCCGTCACACTCGCCCATTGTCAAACTACTTGCCATCATCAGACAAATGATGAGAGTTCGACAGCTTTTCTGATTGAACAGGCAAGTATTAGATAGACAGGTAGGCCTCGTAGGCCTCAGCTATGTGCAGGGCTCGCATTCAGCATGAGTTGGAGGTTGGCACATGCCTTTCGGGCGTTTTCTTGGGCAATCGTGGACGGCAGGGTTTAAGAGCAACATCGAAAGTGCTCTGGTGGGACAAATCCAATGTGCAGAGTGCCTCCAGGAGATGTCCATGCTGCTTCATGCTTATCTAGAGTTTCAGCCCCTGGGTCAAGTCTGCTGCCCCGGTTATTGTCGGAGCTAGAGGCTGCTAGAGGCTGTTCGGCAACAAGAGCCCTGTCTTGGGTCAGGCGCATCGCAGCAGCTTCATGGACCGACTGCGAGGAGGAAAAAATGCTGACTTCGGGCGGATTTCGGGCAGATTTTGGACCAAGTCGACCTGGAACAACTTGTTGGAGCCCTTTGTCTTGAAAAGCTGGCACAGGTGCACAAGAAGATGTGCAGGGAGAAGACGAGGCGGAGTACCGAGGTGCAGCTGACAGCTGTGATGTCATGATGTCAACATATGTCTTCTCTGATCTGGGTTTCACTTTGGTTCAGTTGACCCTGCAAAGGTCAAGTGGTTGCTTTGCGGGAGCCACTTTCGGCAACATGGCCTGGTCAACTTGAGTGCCCGCAACTTGCGCTTGAGTTGGCTGCGGAAGTCCGAGGCAACAGCTACAAAATGGCAACTGGCTGTCACCTGGATGACGACTTTGAGACCGTGTATCAATAGCACTACCTTCTAGCCTTGTTTCGCACCAGCCACGCAAGAAGGTGGTAGCAGCAGGTCTGTAGGGAGCGCCAGTTGACCGGTGACTGCACCAAGGGAGTCAAAAGCTGTAGAAACGGATACTTTGATTGTGTCACTACTCACATATGTTGGCCTTTGAGTGTATTGCAGCCCAGGCAACAAGCGGCCTTGCCTCCACCTGTGACAGGCTTGCAGAATCAGGCAGCAGCTAGCTTCGCTTGCCGAGCCTACACTTGAACTTGACCTCGACAGGGTAACACCTGTTACCTGAACGCGATCCTGCAGTGCCTTGTACATACGATGTCCCTCTGTCAGCAGCAACCTTAGCTCGTGGACGCTTCTGTCAAGATGTCTTTGTTTTCTGTTATGGCGCTGCCTGCTGAGAAAAGATGAGGAAAAGATGTCATCAGTTCTTTTGAGCATATGGGACTGTCAAGAACAGCACAGACCCTGCTTTTGTAAACTATGTCCCAACTACATAACTAAAGCAGCTGAAGAAGCTGTACATTGCCGCATCGATTCTGCCACCCTGTAGCCTGCTTAAACTAATGAAGTGGTACCTTCCCAAAGTTCGTCGGCTGTGCTTGCTGAAGTGATCCGAGTCGATTGTTAGGTCAGGTTTGCCAACGGTGCTTCAGACAGTTCGTTCGTGTAAGGGCGAACTGACACGGCATGTGCCAGCTGAAGCCTGTTCCCACAAAGGCTGCAGATGTGTTAGTACCTCCGGCATACTCTAAAGCAATCGAGGTAGCAACTTGATCACGCGTACATCGGAGATGTCGGTAACGGGCAGAAGCATAAACTCGAACGGCAGACATGCATGCTGATTGCAGGGTAGGCATGCTTCGCGTGCCGATGAGGCTTTGACGTCACCTGCAAAATCTTTGCTGGCTTGCAAGGTTGGTGCAAGAAGTACCGTCGCAGTGCCTCCGAAAGCAGGTTCTCCTCTGCAAAGGTTGGAAGGTGGCAGGTAGTAGCTAAGCCAATTTTTGCAGGGCCTGAACGGCCTCACAGGCCTTCGCCTGGCAAATGACATGACAGGATGCGCGGCAGTGGCTGGCTCAGCTTCAGCAACTGATCCAGGACATGAAGGAGGCTGGAGTGTTAATCTGTCCTGCAAAAACTTGATGCAAGGAGCATGCACCATGCCACTGTATGGCAAGGGCCATCCTTGAACAGAGGTTAACACCGGTGGCTCTGGTGTCTCGAGCATCGCTGAGTGGCTCCTGGCACCGTCTTGAAAGATTAATTTGCATCATGCTCGCCAGAGTCGCATGTATGCAATGCTACCAGAAGCTAGCGGGTTAAGCCATGTTAAGCCTCCGACTGCTTGTCTCGCTGCCCCGCTTCAAGTGCCCCAAGCCGTTGTAGAGCAAACTGGGCTCAAAGACGATCTGTTAATGTGCGGTGGCTTGTACCCCATCCTTTCGGCCCGCCAGGCTCATTACCATGAACAAGGAGTTTGTGCGAGGGCGACAGGCTGGGTGCTTGCCTTGGGCGTACGCGTGGCTTTTCTGATGTTGCTCGGGACATCGTCAATTTCCCAAACTTAAGTAGCCGGTTGCTCAATGATGACTGTCAACATGTTGCGGAGAAAATGGCTGGCAGTTTGCGTGCCACAGGCAGATGCCCACGAGGCTTTCATGTTCATCGTTTCCAGGCCCGGCTAGCCTGAGCAGAGTGTGTTGGACGTTTCATCAAGCGCAGTGCCGCACGTGGCAAGCCGTGAGGAAGGCTGGACACTTTCAGACGTCCGGCTGAAAGCCGTGCAAACGCCAAACTCCATGAAAATCTCGTGAGAAACCGCCACGGTGCGGTGAACTCTAAAAATGAGTGGCTGTGCAAGATGCTTTTTGTCTGGTAGCACGCAGCGTTTGATGCAGATGAGCCGAGCAATCTGAACATTCAGGTATTCAATCCTTGAAGTTTGTAAAAGCAACGTGTGTGGACAACGTCTGATTGAGCAGCTTTGTGCATGAGATGTCGCGGCAGGCTTCTTGAAGCTTGCATCGCTGTTGGCGATGGTCAGACAGACGAAGCTTCGATTGTGTCAAGCTACGCAGTGCAGGCTGCATGAACCTGACGGAGTGAAGCAGGCTCTGCTCTCGTGTGCGTGATGTGCGCGCAATTGCTGCAGGAGTCGTTGGAGAGGAGCAGCTTGCTGGGCTACGTGTTTGGCATGGACTTGGGGCGCGTGTCCTAATTCTGCAACACGTCATGTTGCGCACAAAATGATTTGCGTCGAGGCAAAAAGTGCGCTGCAGACATTGCAGCTACACGTCTGAAACAGCACGAGTGGAATACTGCCTCTGTTTGAGGCAATGACGATCTTTAACATGTGCATGCCACATTTCGTGATTGTATCACGGCATTTTTGCGTGAGTTGCACACCTGGGCTGGACGAGCATCGAGAACCTTTCCACAGGCAGGTTCTGCAAAGAAAGCTCTCAGGATGCCCAGCTTGGCAATGATGACTGACGTGAGGTTTAGGTTCATGCTGACCGGGACAACATTCGAGCAGATCCAAATGGTTTCCAGGTTCAACAAGTTACGCAGAAGCCCTTTTGCGCAGAAAGAGAGAGACAGTAGTTAAAACCTGTCATGGATTGGAACCCAAAAGAATCAAACGGCTTAACGTGTTGCTAAACGTGACAAGCTGCCGCGCGGGCCATGGCGCTGCAGACCATTCTTCTCAGTGGTTTTGCAACCTTCGTCGGCTTCGCTTGCGGTGAAGCTTTGCTTGGCTAGTAGTGAGTTCGGTACAGCAAATAGTTAAATAGTGTGTACCATAAAGAAGGCATGTTTTCAAGAAACTCAGGCTGCCCTCATCACAACAAGCCATTATTGGCTAGATATTGCAAGCTTTCAGAAAGTGAGTGTGGGAACGTTTAAGGAGCCACATTCATTCGCAGAAATTCCCGCTTGTAGTGCTTACCTTCTTGCGTCAGAACACTTGTGACAGGGTGAATGCCGGATCTGGGAAAATGTTTGTTTTGACTTTGATGTTACTCTCCCTGTCGGAACCTGCACAGTCTTGGTTGCAAACTTCATTTTGCTTTTTCTGTTGAGAAACTTCGACTTGCGTGGACTCCAGCTGTCCAGTAGCAGCAGCAGATCTCATCCGTTTGAGAAGAAGACAGCCGCTGTCTACAAGTCAGAACTTGATGTCAGAAGCCTGTCACGAAAGCTTCTTGTCAGAAGGAGCTTCGTTCACATACCCGGACGTAGTGAGCTGAGTGGTGGGGGTCCGGATGGACAGGCCGGGTACTGGCCAGGTCTTTTTTTGGAGGGCTTTGCTGGGATCGCCTAGATCACTGTTTTGGGGGGGCTGGCGGGGAGAAGCGGGGGCCCGTGAGGCAGCAAATGCAGGCCTCCATAGGCCCCCACAGGCCCAAATTTGATTTTTTTGAGATTTCTCCGAAACTTCATCGGGTCTAAAATCTACTATAGCCGCAAGCAAACGCTGCAGATTGCATTCGGTGCGCAGTCCTTCTGCCCTTCCAGCACGGTTACAGCACCCGCGCAAGCTTTTCATATTTCATGCAGATGCATGTTCAACATGACAAGTATTTTGCCGGTTTCTTAGAGTCCAGGCCATACGTAGTTTTCCTGACTCCGACTTTCTGCAGTTGGACAGCTGGTAACATATCTTGCATTTGTATTGTGCAAGTTGATACCCTGTACAGTTGATTGGGCGCAGAGCTTTCGTTAACCTCGTAGGAGTACATGTGCAATTTGGTTGTGATTCGATTTTGGAAACTGGTCTTCTTATGTTGCTCTCAAGGCTGCGGGTGCCCGCTCGCTGGTACGAAAACGCTCGCAGCAGGCTTGCAGTGACTGCTGTAGGGACGGGTCTGTCCTTCATAGAGGTGGTCACTTAGCCATACTTCACCTTCATTGACTCATGTGTTTTCGTCGCTTTTGTTATTCCGTTCTTCTGTTGGAGATGATGCTGCTGCTGTCAGCGTCCTTTCGTATTCACATGTCAAATAATGACACGCTGCCTGAGCCGTCCAGGCGTCGCTCGGGCGCTGCCAGCGAATGGCTGGAGCTTGCTCATCCCTGGCTCTGGTGGTCACAGGCTTCCTTGGACTTCTATGGTGTTTCATCGCACCTCCACCGTTCTCTGCTCCATGCCTGCAGGGGCAGTTCAGCGTCTGCATGTGTTTGCATCGTTGTGCACAGCATGCGCGGGGCGCCCGAGGTGGAGATCTCACAGGCCCCTACTTTTCGCCGCAACGATCCAGCCTTGTCCGTGTACCTGGGTGCCGCGGCTTGATTTGTACCCAGCTACGCGTTGGGTGTTGGTTATGGTGGGGCTCCAGATCCCTGTCTCCCGAAGTGCTGGCACAAGGACCACGTTGACGTTCTGCCATCTCAAAGTCTGTTTGTTTCTCGTTTTTTGTGGCTGTTACGTACTCACACTCACTTGGCTCTTCGTTCTGGGCGTGGGAGTGCAATCAACCAAGCATCTTGGTCCTGGGCATCCAGTTCGTTGAGTTTTGATATACAAAACTAATCAAAAACTTTAAATGCACGCCAAGAACAACAACTCAGGAGTCAAGGGCATCCCCGTGCATGCCCAGTAGCATAGCATGCTGATGTAGTGCGGAGAGCTACTTCGAACAACGCTTTCAACCCCCAGGCTCTGGAAACGTGAAAGGCAATCCTGATGCAGCGCACATGTTGCCATTAATCCTGTCCTTGGTGGAACCTTTAGCAAGACAGACTTTCACTCATGTAGAATAAGGAGCATCACTTGGAATCTAGACCCGTGTGACCTTAGAGGATCCATTGATACCTTTAGGACTCTCCCAATGAGGTCTATATGACATTGAAAGAAGCGTTGTTCTTAAAGAAATCCCAAGGCTGTCTTTATAGACTTTATAGTGATGTGAGTACAAATGAGTACCAGCTGAGAGCCCCAAAAGTCCGAAACGGATCCATCTCCAATAAACATCACCCCAATTTAGCCCCTGACGTCCCCTTATACAAGAGCCCCGAGGCTCCACAAAGTTTTCTACAGCCGTTGCTATATCTCTCTGGAATCCGCAACACTTTACTTCCCCGGCTTGTAGGCCTTAATGGATCCCTCGTTGCAGCACCTCAATAACGGTGGGATTTTTCAAGAAATCAAGTTCTTGATTTGGGAACGTATCTTGTGTTTGGAGCATCTTCATGTTCAAGTGCTGTTGAGAAGCAAAGAGCCTAGGCTCCTAGGACGCTTCATTCAAGCGGTTTTTGCATTTTTCTGTTTCCCAAACTTCAGGTGTTTGGTGGCAGGCAAGAGTTTGGGGGTTGTGGATCCCCATCATTAGGAGGCTTGTGGAGTTACAAGGGGTAAAAAGACTATTATTTTTTCGGTTTGGAGATGTGCCTCTAAGAGCGGTTCTTGTGCTTGTGCGGAGGCAACGGCTGCTTTTGGCACACTCAATACGACACTTTCGTGGTTGAGTCAGATCCAGCTGATGCTTTCGGTGGTCGAAACATGAGCGAGATCACAAGTCTCATTGGTTACGCGGGTGGTCGCAGCTTGGCAATCAGCTTGTAGTAGATCCCCAACGAAACCAAGCAGAAACAGCTTGAAACAGCTTTCCTCGCCACAGGTTACCAGAGTGCCGGCGGGGCTGTTTGTTATCATGGTCTTCCGGCTACTGACTACAGTCGCTTAGGCGTTGGGGCGGCAGAAGTTACCAGAAAGTGTCTTTCCATTTGCAAGTTTCCAGGCCATGCCGAAGCAGTCTCGGTGATGTTGGACGAAATCACTGGACCCATGGCTCGAAGCCAGGCAGTGCTACTGGTGGGCCGGTGGTTCATCTGGATGTAGTGAGCTCACTGACAGGTATCAGCCCTTGCACGGATGTACTTCGAGCATGGCTTTCAATCACTGCCAGATGGGCGCAGGCAGCTATCATGTAGCATGTGGGTGTGCCAATGTGTTGGAAATTGCCGGAACAGGGAAACCTGCAATATCCTGCAATGACCAATCATGGTGAGGGTGGAGACTCTGGGCCATGCAACAAGCGCAGCAACCCTAACATCTGCAGGCATGGCTAGACCGTGACATATTGTGCATCACATCCACATTGCAATCGTGGCTCGCAGGAAGTGACTTGGGGCGAAGGGGTGGGTTGAGGCTGGGCTTGGGGGCCCCTCACCCTGAAGAGTTGCATGGCGGGGATAGAGAAGAGGGTGGGGAGAAGGGGAAACAGCTGGATTTTGATTTTTTGTGTGCTCCAGGTGCCTACCAGCCCCAGTCTTAAATCAGCTCATGGGCTCGTTGACTGTCTGGCTTTCTTTAGACACGAGAGTTAGAAAAGGCCTCAGCAAAGCGTTTGAAGGCAGCGCTTGGATCCACAAGATGTTGGCGCTGAATACCGCAATGCCCCTCGGTGTGTGGCAGGCATCGGTGTGTGGCAGGCACCTTCACGAATCAAAGAGGTACTGTGGGGCTGCTTCATCAGCTTATGTGGTTGCAAGCATGACGGCATGATGCCTTCTTTGTCGTCCTGAGTTGCGTCTCGTTCTGCTCGGCAAATGGAGTGTAAAGATGCACGGGATCTGAGGTAATTGGACTACCCGGTGGCATGGACAACTCCGAGCTCTGGCCGCTTTTCGAGGCAAGCTTTGCTGGCAAACACTGCGACACTTCTGCTGCCCTTGTCCTAGCCAGGAGGCAAATGTTTATGGAATGCCGCTTCTTCGAGGAGGTGTTGGAGATTCGGAAGGCAAAGCAAAGGGCGATGACAGCCGTGAGATGCCGTGTGTCGATCATCTGGAACCAGACCATGGCTTTTCGGCATCGTGTGCAGGTGAGTATGTGGTTTACGTGTATGACCCCCTGCAGTATCCATTTTTTCGTGGCGAGGAATATCATCAGCTTGCCACTGAGATTTTTTTTGCAGCGTTTTTGCCTTGCCATGCGATTGGACTCGACACAGCTCAGGTTTCATCCCAACAACGTCATACAGAGACCTGTCCCTGTGTCTTACACTTCCACATTGAAGGATGTGCAGGCTTGTCACAGGCTTGTTCCTGCAAGACAGTGGTTTGCAAGCTGTGGCAGGAAAGCATGGGACGGCTGGATGATTCAGACAGGCCTCAGTGCGTGTTCAGGCAAAGCGCTTGAGAGCCTGCAGACCTGGAGGGGATGCCCTGTACTTCCTTTCTCTGAGATTGTTTTTCTGATCGTGCCGCAGCCCTGGATCGGTCCCAGATGTCTTCAGCCGTTCTTTTTCCTTGGGAGCTCTAGGAGAGCTAAAGTTTATCTCGAGCTTGTCTCTCCTTGTACTTCACGTTATGGTTAGCGCTTGGCAGTGAGTATTCGTATATAGCGCAGGTGCTGTGGGATGCGGACACTTGGCACCCATTCCGGATTCAGCACATCCTGCAATTTGTCCGAGGATGATGTTTGCCATGACCTTGTCAAGCGGTGTTGTGAAACTCGTCAGCAAGCAGACGGTCTTGCGAAAAATGTGCAGGATCAGACATGCTTTACAGCAGCAGAAGCAGGTTCCTATACAGAACCCTGGCAGAGCCGGATGCTCTTTGCTCCATACAGCAGTTTCGCTCGAACGATGCTGCAGCGTGCCTTGCTTGCATTGCAAGCTGCTGCACATAGTGTTACCTGTTACCGCCTCAGCTGCACAGCTAAGGTAGTTCGAGATGTCCAGCTTCCAAAGGAACTTGGGCTTCAGCTGACCATGTACAGCAGCAGATAGCAGCAGTATGCACGCATAGTTCGGACGCGCTTGGGGCGCTTTCTCAAAAAAAAGCATGCGTGTTGCTGCACTCGTGCCTGCATGGACCAGGCCCTGCTTTGTCTGGTAGGTCCCCTGGATATGGCTACGGCAACTACGGCAGCTACAGCAGCTACGGCTACAGCAATGGATGGAATGGCTCGCTGGCCAGCGCCGTGTTTTGCGTGTTTTTGCCATGCTTGTGATCATGTCTGGACTTGACAGTACTTGACAGGATGTTCTCCCAGAGACGACGCTGGAAGATTTGCTTACCTCCTATTCAAGGCTAAAGAGCCCCAGAGTTCATTTCTCTAGAACTGATTGCGTGGGATGGGTTGTATGTACAGCGATTCATGTTGCAGGGTGGAGCGGATTGAAGGCTACAAGTGTGACAAATGCAGTCGGCAGCCAGCTCGGTACGGAAGACGGATTCTCCATGGAAAGTGCAAGATTCGTGCAGGATGGTTTCATTGTCTCCTTGGCTTCAAGGCATGGCTGTGTGCGAAGCGCCTATATCAAGCGCCCGCCGAACAACCTGGTGATTTACATTGACCGTCGGCAGGCATATGATATTTCCATCTTCTCATGAGTGCATCAGCCATGTCAAGAACATGCAGGATTCTAGCCGATTCGGCAAGATCAATCGTGCGGTTCAGCGCTGAACTCAGTTCTTGCATTCACCCTTTGGGCGCCTGATCCTGTTTTTGGGGTGTTCGCGTGCCATGTAAGCACAAGCCATTTGCAAAGGAGGAAATTAAGTAAGCCATCTTGCACCCAGGCCCGAGCAGTATTGCTTAGCAAGGGTCACTCTGTGCAAGACAGCCCTAGAGTGGAGGATGCTTTCTGGAAACGAGTTGTGAGTTGTAGCTAAACGTTACACGACGCTTGCCGCGTGCAATGGTATGCAATGGAAACGCCCTTCCTGGTGAAGTCAACTGGTGCAAGATATCCTGGAGCTGGCATTCCACAGTTCAGATCAACTTTTGAAATGGTAGGCAGCTTCCTCCCAGCAAGCGCGCATGTTTGCAGCGTGTAGAGTATAGCCAGGCATGGATCGTGCGCAGGCAGAATGCAAGGAATCTCGTGCCTCATGTCCTACATCCTTTGCATCTCCCAGATGCTCCGCCATTTTCATGCTGGATCGTATTTCAGTCCGGCTGTGCATTGGACGGGGAAGAGAAGTCCTCTAAATCCTAGGCGAGTGCTTGGTCACCAAACCTTCAGCATTCAAGGGTGTCCTAAACCCATTGAAGCCACGAGCGAAGGGCCGATGTGCATTTGTCTTTCTTTCAGTTGGTGCGAGTTCTTTCTTAGGTTGCATGCATGCTCTGCGTGCCGCAGTCGCTGTGGGTTTCGTGCATGGTTGCCATATTTGACATCTTTTCCAGTCGCGCTGTCAAATGTGCGCTCTTTGGACATGACCGGTCATCGCATATACGACATGGGAATGCAGCGTCAATCGCATCATTATTTGCCTTTTGTCATTTGTTCCGGCACCAGGTTGGCTGTAGCGGGGGGGGGGGAGTTGGGCAGTTTGCGCGGACGCTGTTCGCAATCAATCCTCAAAGGCTATTAGCGATGAATTTGGCTCAGCTCTTTGCACTTGTGACTTCCCTAGTGATCCTAATGATACTAGTGTGCGGTAAATGCTAATCCATGCCCACCAAAGGCCGGAAGGGATTCCCCGAAAGTGGTGGCGTTGGCAGGGACCTCCTTTCCTCAACCAATGCTCGTGGTACCTGCCATCGTGGCATGATGCTCCATATAGACATGTTTCTCTTCTGTGATCAGTACTTCTATGCTTTGGCTCAAGGGCTTCATTTCTTATCATCTCTCTGGGCGCAACTGCTTTTGTCTGATGTGCAGAGGTATCACTTTGGGGTCATGCGGTGGTGCTGTGGCTGGTGGGTTGAAGCATAGGGCAGAAAGATGGTCGCGAAATCCGTCGCAAAATCAATATCAGAAAGATCGGAGGTTTTCTGCTGTGTCGAGCCCGGCCTTCATTTCAAGCGGATGTGGGCGCATCGTCTGTGCTTAAAGACGTTTGCCAGGTTTCCTCAAGTACTGGATGCTTCGCCCTTCATGGAGGCGAGCTTTCCCCACCCCTCCGTGTGCTGTCGCAAGCTCAGTTTCGTGAGGAGACTCGTTCTGGCAGCTCTGGCAGTTACCAGCTCTATGGCATGGCCGTGCTCCCTGGGAGTCGTTGAGAAGATTTGAAAAACGGATCCCAGCTTGCCACATCTGAAGCAGGTACACCAGGACTTCAATGGCTCGACTACCTTTGGGCACTACATTGCATTTGTGCGGCGTGCAGATTGCTTTGGTATGCTGTGTTAGTGGTTCAGTGCGTTTGACCCTAATTATGAGGTTAGAAGGATGGGCACGCCCAGAGCTCAAATTTGAGCTTTATTCTTTACAGGCACCAAATCATCCTGGCCTGCTACAGGTGGTACAGAATTGATGACGACCAGGTGGCAGAAGTACCGTGGTCCCTCGTGAAGGACATGTCAAAAATCAGTTTTTTTGTGGTAGTTGTAGTGCACGGCAGGAGCAGCGAGCTAATCTCCTCTTCTACGCTGCAAAGACGGTGGCTCTTTGAAGCCAACAAAAAGTAATCAGGGTTTCTCATGGCGCTTGCCAGGTTGCTCTTCCGCCTTGCGAAGATGGCATGACCACTTCCGTTTCAAGGCTCGACTTTACAGCCATGTTTGGATGTCTTGGAGCATGTTGATTTTTGAATAAGGCTTCCTCATTCTATTACAGGAGTCGTATGTAGAAGGCTCTGAGCAAGAAAGAGGATCTGACATACCGCGATAGAAAAATGCTGTGACATATCAACCGCTTTGCAGTCTTTGCAATCTTCGTAGGCTGGCCCGGAAACACTTCTTGACTCCTTGCTAGGAAGCCAATTTGAAAGCAATATTTCCTTAGACTCTTCCTTCACATGGTCACTTCAACACCAAGATCAAAACGCCAAGTCTTCAGCCGTGGCATGTGCATGATGCATACTTTAGCAGCGGAAGCGTGCGCAAGCCAGGGCTCCAGGCTGAGAGTTGTGCCAGAACTCGCTGACAAAGATGCGCTTTGGAACTTTGGCTAGGCCAGTTTCGGACGAAGCCAACCAGAAACTACCTTCACCTAGGCCACTTTCTAGTGTTTCTTGTTACATTGTTCGTTTGAATCCTTTTGATTTTGAGCCTCAGCAAAGTATGCTGCGAGGTCTGCACCGGAGTACGTCCAAGCTGCGGCAAAACCGCTACTCGAGGAGGCCTCCACCAGGCAACCTGGCACTTCTCTTGCGCACATCCTGAGTTCAATTTTGTAAAGTGCAGATTACGCAACTCTTCACCTCAACAATGCTTACAGACATCATAAAACAGGCGAGGTTCAAGGTTTCTTGTAGTGGTATGGCACAAGGCATTCTTGTCGCAGTGGCTAGCTTCTGCGGCTTCTGCCAGGAGTCGCGCTGACGAGATGGTTGAGGCAAACGGTTCATGCTACTTGTGGAGTCGACTGCGGATAGCAGCATGCGTATGCTGTAAGTGTGGCTGTGGCTGTGGCCTGAAGCTAGCGCAAGGCTCACGAGCAAACCTTCGTAGAAATTCGTAGCACACAGCATCGCCCAAGCAATGAACTTCGACAAGGGGACCAAAGGCAGAAAGCACTCAGGATCCTTGTTTTGGTGGGGGGGGGGGGGTTGGGGG